GCTGGTGGGAGGTGTCCCTGCCCATGCAGGGGGTTGGAGCTGGATGGTCTTGAAGGTCCCTGCCCAGCCCAAACCATTCCATGATTCTATGCAGTGCTGTCTCTCTTTGCTCTGAGGGGTTTGCACAGGGGTTTGCAGATGACATGACTTCCCTGGTTGATGTTTCTGCCCATGTGCTCATTCCCTGATCTGGCCTGTGCTCTGTCAGGTGCTCAGTCCCCTTGCCCGGCTGCCACCATCAGGCAGGAGCTGCTGAAGGAGGGATTTCACAGGTGAGCTGTGCCCAGGGCTGTGGCACAACATGTGCTTTTATCTGTGGAGAAACCTTTCCTTCATAGAATTGAAGAATCATAGAAAGGTTTGGGTTGGAGCTAGTGAGTCAGAGTGAGGAAAACCTTCCTTCACGTGGGGTTTATGTTCTACTTTCCTGTGCTGGGGAAGGGGCTGGAGCACAAGTGTGAGGAGCTGAGGGAGCTGGGGGTGTCCAGCCTGGAGACCAGGAGGTGAGGGGAGACCTGCTGGCTCTGCAGCTGCCTGAGAGGAGGTTGGAGCCAGGGGGGTCGGGCTCTGCTCCCCAGGAACAAGAGGAAATGGCCTCAGGTTGTGCCAGGGGAGGTTGAGGCGGGATATGAGGAGAAACGTCTTCACCAAAGGGCTGTCAGGCCCTGGCCCAGGCTGCCCCGGGCAGGGCTGGAGTCCTCATCCCTGGAGGGGTTTCCAAGCCCTGTAGATGTGGTGCTGAGGGACATGGGGCAGTGGTGGCCTTGGCAGGGCTGGGTTAATGGTTGGGCTGGATGATCCTAAAGGTCTTTTCCAACCCAAACAATTCTATTCTAAGATTCTGTGGATGTGGAGTCAGAGTGAAGTACCTCACCCCAAACAGGAGGACAGGAAGGCCCAAGAGGGAGCTTCTGGGTCTGCCCCCCTAGGGCCCAAGAGCTCTGTCTCATTTCAGAGCCCATCTCTGGGGGGCTGGGCCATCCTTTGAAGGGTGGGTGTGAAGGTTTGGCTTCTGTTGCTCGTTTGAAGGGACCTGCTGGTGAAGGTGGAACTCGGTGTCACGGGGGAGGCTGCAGGAGGGTGTGCAGTGGCAGCCAGGACTCGTCTCCCACCAGGAATCTACGTGGATCCCTACGAGCTGGAGTCACTGCAGCAGCACAACCTGACCAAGGTAACAACCCCACAGCTCAGGTGTCTGGTAACTACTCAGATAAGGACCAGGCTGGTTGAACCAAGGTGATTCCTTCCTTTTCCTAGAAGGTGGTGGTGCAGGGTGTTTGGTGTCATGTGCTGCTCGTATTTCATAGAATCATGAAGGTTGGAAAAGGCCTCTAAGATCATCCAAGTCCAACCATCAGCCCAACACCACCCATGCCAGCTAAACCATGTCCCAGAGTCCCACATCTACATGGTTTTTGAAGACATCCCAGGGATGGTGACTCCACCACTGCCCTGGGCATCCTGTTCCAGTGTCTGACCACTCTTATTTCCACACATAGACATGTGTAACTGGGGAGCCACCACTACTCTGCTTAGCCATGAGGAGCAGCTGTGGTAAAAGCTATTCAGGTTGAGAAGATGGAAGGTTAACCCCCCCCCAAAAAAAGAGGTGTGGGGGTGCTCCAAGTTGCAGGGGGGCTGGACTAGATGACCTTTCAAGGTCCCTTCCAACCCCACAGGGTTTCCCTCCTGAGGCTGCAGGTGACCCCAGGAGCCTCTTAAACCCCAGAATCATGCACCAAAACTCTTGGCTGTTGGGTTTTTTTCCCCCCTACATCCCTCCCGTGGGTCTGTTCTGGTTGCAGCCACATCTGGATCTTTCTCTTCTCACAGGCAGTATTAATTCCTGAGGTTGTTGATGTGGAAGCTCCTGAGTATTTAGCCCCAGATCTCCTTGTTGTGCTGTACCTGGAACCTGACCCGCGGTGCTCTGGTTGCTTCAGGGCTGTCCTACCTGTGCACGGGCGCTACCACCGGCCAGCAGGAGAGGAGCCTGAGGAAGCCTGGGTGGTTCTGAAGAGCCCAGAAGTTCTGGTCTGCTGCTGTGACAGTAAGATTCTCTCTCATTTCTGTGTTCTTTTGGGGAGAGGGGAATCCATGGGCTAATCCAGAGCTTGGAATCTGGTTCTGTGTTTGTTGGAGCTCTCAGTTGTCAGGTGAACATCAGGGGAAGATGGTGGCCCTGCTGAGGACCATGTTGTCTTCTTTGAATGCTGCTGCATTAATCTGAAGGCAGTTGAATTGTCAGCAGACCCCTGGGTGTTGTACCTTGTAGGGCAAAAATTGGCAGTTGGCCTTTTTGTCACAGCCCCTGCAGGTCCCAGGCCACCTCTTCACAGTGTTTCTCAGCTTGAAGCCATTTGTGACAAATTTCATCTTCACCATCAGCTATGGAGGGTGATCAAAGCCTTCTGGTGGTTCCTACCACTTTCTTCTTGCATTCCTATAAAGGGAGGGGTGCAGAAATCTGCCTGGAGGTTGGAATGGCTGGAGTCTCAGACTCCTGTGAAATGAGAACCTGATATCCAATGACACTGAAATCCTCCATTTTTGGTACAAATTGTAGGTCCTTTCACAAAATCATTCTTGCTGGTTGTCAAGTCCAATGTGCTCATGATTCTCAGCTCCTTTATCTTTGTTTGCACATTATTTGGACAGTGATTTTTCTGGGATAAACTTAGAGGTCAGGAAACTGCCTGGTGAGTTATCAAAGGGCTGTGAAATCTTCACATTTTTCTATCACATTTATTACTTCTGAGCAGGAAAAGATCCTAATTATTAATAGGAAGTAGTAGTAATAGTAATAATATTTGAAAGTTTGGAGGGGAGTTCCTGGCTGTGCCAGCAGGGGACAACAGGGAGACTGGAATTCTGTAGTTTGGGGCAAGAGAAATGATAACTGAAGGTAAGGGGTCTCCAGGCCAATGATGAATTCTTTGCCCTGTTAAGGAGAGAAGGGCCAAGGTAACACAAGGGGAAGAATCTTCCTTGGGTACCTGCTGCATCAGGAAGGGAAGAGCTGCAAAGTTCAGGAAAAGGACTTCCCAGCACTGCTGTGACCATCCAGGTTAGCTGTTTGGAGCTGTTTCACCTCTTGGCCTTCAGGGAGTAGTAGATTCTGGCTGTTGTGGAGGAAAGACACCTCATTTGGAAAAGTCCTGCAGGCTGCATTGATGGCCAATGGCATCCTGGGGGGCATTAAGAAGAGGGTGTCCAACAGGTGGAGGGAGGTTCTCCTCCCCCTCTCCTCTGCCCTGGAGAGGTCCCTTCCAACCCTGACCATTCCATTATTCTATTCCATAGGATCCTGCTGATGCATTAATATCTTTCTTAGGTCACCTGTTGATGGACTGTTGGGAGCCTGCTGAGGTGGAAGGTCCCTGTCCAGGCAAAGCCCTCAGCCCCTGCCAGTGGTACCGTGCCAGGCACAAACCTGTGAGTTCTGATTTCTGGTGGCAATTCTTGGTTCTCATCTAACAATTGCTGCCTTTTTTTTCTGTGATTAACAACTTCCACAGCACAGGAATTCATGAGTAAAACAAGAGTTGTGTGATTCCCACTTTGGGATGCTCCCTTCTCCCTTTCTGACCAGCTTTTAATGGTGTCCTCTTGCCTTTCTGACATGTTTCTAGTTACTCTGTGCTCTTCTCATCCTTTATGGGCCTTCTCTCCTCACCTTTTGTGGATAGTTTACTTGGAATTCTAGGATATAATTGGCCAGTGGTCAAATTAAAAAAAGGCTTCACAAAATAGGTGCTTCAGAGCAGCAGCAAAGTGAAAAACTACTTTATGGTCTTAAGTAAAGGAGGGGTAAAACCCCAGAGATTGAAGGGATAAGATCTTTTAACAAGATAACTGTTTGGTCGTTATCTGATTGGCCAAGTATTAGAGATTGAAGGGATAAGATCTTTTAACAAGAGGCCACTTCTGTTTGGTCGTTATCTGATTGGCCAAGTATCTAGGAAAAGGTGAAGTTTCTTTATTCCCTGTTCCAAGACCAAGGAAAGTTGGACCTTTAATGTGGTCAACAACTGCCTTTGATACTTGAAAGGGTTGCAGTGCTGTAGATGTTCAGGACTCAGACCAATTTGTCTCACAAAAAGTCTGTTAGTTTTGTAACACAGATGCTTTCCTATATTTAAGATACCTGCAGACTTCTGGGGTAGCATCAGCTCTTGTCCAAAAAATGTTTTGGAGCTTTCTGCATCACAGGGAAACCAAACAGTTGTTCACCTTGGAGAAAAATGAGCTGTGAAAGGCTCACTCCCAGTTTCTCTCTTCTGTGCTGTGTTATAGACATATCCTCCCTGGCAAGTCTCCTGTAGGAACAAAGATGCAGAGGATCTAAGTGGTTGTCACTTCAAATGGGAGCAGATAAATTTACTGAGCTTTGCAGCTGCCTCTCCATGTGCTGTAGATGGAAAGGTGATGTCCAATCTCAGTTTTTATCTCAAATCCCAGAAGAAGCCTTAGCAAGGGGTTAGTTAAACAGTGCTCTGGTTACTAATCCTCTAAGTTGCAGTCAGTACAGGGTGCTAAATCCATGTAATCCATGTGGTTTTTTTCTTTGTAGGCATCCAAGGAAACGATTCTGCAGGTCCCAGTGGGACTCAGGGAACACAGTTCTCTAGTGTGTGTCCTGACTCTCTTTGTCACGGTGCTCTGTTCCAGCCTGATCCTTGCAGCTGTGTGCAAATATGGACACTTCTCCCCCGCAGTGACCTGCTCTGAATAAAGACTGAATGACTGACCTCTGGCCAGCAAAGCTCACTGAATATTACAGCAGCTTCCCAAAATTCAAGGTCCTGCACCTGAGCCAGGGCAATCCCAAGCACCAAGACAGGCTGCGCAGAGAATGGATTGAGAGCAGCCCTGAGGAGAAGGACCTGGGGGTGATGGTTGATGAGAAGCTCCACAGGAGCAATGTGTGCTTGCAGCCCAGAGGCCAGCTGTGTCCTGGGCTGCAGCAAGAGCAGTGTGGCCAGCAGGGCCAGGGAGGGGATTCTGCCTCTCTGCTCTGGTGAGGTCCCCCCAGGACTGCTGGGTCCAGTTCTGGGGCTCGCCACACAAGAAAGACATGGAGCTGTTGGAGCAAGTCCAGAGGAGGCCACAGAGATGATCCTTGGGCTGGAGCAGCTCTGCTCTGGAGCCAGGCTGGGAGAGTTGGGGTGTTCAGCCTGGAGAAGAGAAGGCTCCAGGGAGACCTTAGAGCAGCTTCCAGTGCCTGAAGGGGCTCCAGGAAAGCTGGGGAGGGACTTGGGACAAGGGCAGGGAGGGATGGGATGAGGGGGAATGGATGAAAACTGGCAGAGGGGAGATTGAGGTGAGACATGAGGAGGAAACTGTGGAGTGTGAGGGTGGTGAGAGCCTGGCCCAGGTTGCCCAGGGAAGCTGTGGCTGCCCCATCCCTGGCAGTGTTGAAGGGCAGGTTGGATGGGGCTTGGAGCAACCTGGGCTGGTGGGAGGTGTCCCTGCCCATGCAGGGAGTTGGATCTAGATGATTTCTAAGGTCCCTACCAACCCAAACCACTCTGTTATTCTATAATCCTATTAAATAATAATTCCTTGCCCTAACTGTCACAAACACCTTGCACACACCAGAGCACTATTTTGGTGTGTTGTCAACAGCCAAAGCAGATGGAGGGTGGGAACAGCAGTGCAAAAAGCTGGAAGGACTATCCCAGTCTTGGTTCTGATTCCCTCCCCCTGGCCTAGAGCCTGCTCTGACTAGTGCTTCCTTTCGTAAAGGTACTTGTGTTTCTGGAATTAAAACTAATGGACACAGGGATTGGTTATTAAGGGTATGAAAAAGTATTATCTAGTCATTAAAGTTTCTGAATTTTAGGCTTGTTGTCCAGACGGGTTGTGTGTGAGTTTTGGAGGAGATGGCCTGTGCTTACCTGGGAAAGGAGAAGGCTTAAATAATGTCTCCCATTCTAATAGTTGGGAGCCACTGGATTAATGATCCAATTGGCCAGAGTTGAGAGAGTTTAGGAAAATGGGAAAGAAATTTCTCCCTATACCATAAGCTGAAGGAATGACCCTTGTAAGGTAAAAGCTGGTGAAAAGAAGCAAACCTTTAGAAGACTTGCATTGAGCCATGAGAACAGTTGGTAAACAGAAGGAAATACAGAGGAAATTACTTAATGGAAAACCTGAGTTGCTCTGGCTGGACAGAAGAGCTTGGCTGCTGCTCCTGGTTGTCAGTAGGTGGCATTGCGAGCTTGTGGTAACTGCTGGGGGTTGGTGGAGAAAACGCGTTTTATTCCCTATAAGCCGAGAGTAAGTTAGGAAAAGCAGGTGATTTGGGGGAGTGTGTGTGTAAGGGGGTGGGGGGTGAATGAAAATTCTGGTTTTCAAATTCTGCCCCTGTTTTGAAGGTCTTTGTGCAGCTGAGGCTGCTCCTCAGCAGAATCAGCCTTTCATGGCTGTCCAGCTGTAGCTCCAGGATCTCTTGGGCATCTTTCTACTTCTGCTGGAATTGAATAGAGAGCTCTCGTCTTGTGACTTCGCCCACGACAGGTTGGCAAGTGCTGTGACACTGGGCTCTTGTTCTCCCTGGGCTGGATGATGATGGCTGTGCCAGTGCTGCTACCTCAGAGAGGTCACACGCTGCATCTGCCTGGGGGAAGGGAGGAATTCCAGAGAACAATCCCAGAGTGATCTGGTGCTGTTTGACTGCATCAGCCCAGCAGGGCTGGGGACCACCAGCAACTCTTGTCTCTGAGCAGGGATTCTTAATTCCCAGAGTTGAGTTTGTCCTTGTGCTCACAGGTGATTCTGTGTTGCAGTCTGACCCTTGGAATCCAACATCCCAGACTGCCACTCAGCTCTGGAAGGTCCTTGTCATAGCCTAAAAGCTCTCCAGGTTTTGTAACATCAGATAATAGCAGCTGAAAACCACAAGTTGAATCCCTCAGCTAAAACAAGCTGAGTGAAAAACAAGTCTAGTGAAAGGAAATAGTCATTCAGACCTAGGAGATACATTAAGAATGGCAAAAACATGAGTGGGTGATTTGGAGATCTGTGCAAGTGAGGACGTGGGAATGGAAACAAGCATTAGTGGTAAGAAGCTGTAGAAGAAACCAGCAGGAGGGGCTTGAATTACAGGGGGTTGAGCCAAGCTGCCTGTTGCAATGTGCACTCATTGGTTTGGCTGGCACGTGGCTCACTCAGCACATCTAGAACTCCTCAGGATCCCACCAACATGCTTTTCAGCTGAGCTTTGGGTAATGCTGAGTCTGAGCCAGGTAAAATGTGAGAGAAGTCACAGAACTTCTCAGGGGGTGTCTTTTTGCTACAGCAAATACTTGCTGGTTTAAAATCCATTTGTATTCTAAATAGACAAGTTTTTCTTTCAAAGCTGTTAATGAGTCTACTAATTATTGTAGTGCTAAGAATGAAGGAATTTGCCAGTTAAGCTTTATCATATCAGAAACTCCTGTTGTTAAGCAAGGACTGTGTTTAGCACCCTGAAGGTGTGCCAGACACTGGGGGATGCAGGTGCCAGCCCCACAGGGATTTGGAGATATGAGTTGTAAAGCTCCCTTGTGGAAAATTTCTGGCAGCTTGGGAGACAGGAATGAGATGGCTGAGTTCTTGGCAGGAGAACAGAGATACAATGGGTGGACACGTGTATAAGGATGGAATTAGAGCAGTGAAAGGAGAAAGGGGAGGATGGGGATGTTAAAGGCCACAGTAGGGGTTATGATTTTCTGAATCACAAATGAATGGGTATAACAAAAAAAAAAATCCACAAAGGAGAAAAAGGTCCTTGTTTCTTTAAAAAGATGGGGAGAGAGGCTGGAGAACAGGCAGGGGGGAAAGATTCTGAAAATGGTTTGGAGCAGGAGCCCAGTGGGTTTAGGGGCACAAGGCTGAAGCAGCAAGGTCACCTTAGAGGGAAGGAGAGTTGAGAGAAGTGAGAAGCTCAGAAATCTGCAGTGGTTTCTTGAGATGTACATGCAGGGATGAATTAGCAAAATCTTGGTCCTAGGATGAACATGGAGCTGAGTCAGAGTAGGAAAGTAACAAAGCAATATGCAAAGAGAAGTGAGGAGATGGCCTTGTCTGCAGTAGGAAGTAGAGCAGAGCACTCCCCAGCAGCCACAGGGTCATCTTGGAGTACTGTTCCTGGAAGAGCAGGGCTGAAACAAGGCAGATCTGTTGGGGCAAGTTTTCTGTGACCATTGGCTCTGCAGTAATTCAGTGAAGAGGAAGAGAGAAGACAGCCAGCAAGCACTGGCTGAAGGCAACAGAAGGTGGAAAGTCTGATCCACACTCTTTGTGCCTGGACCTGCATGGAGGTTTGAGGCCTTTGTGGAAGCCTGCTGCTGCTTCTCCCTGAGGCCTTTATGAAGAGGAGCTGCCTGATAATACGTCCTTCTTCTTTTGAAGGAAAAATCAGATGTTGCTTCAAGCCTGGACTGACAGAGGAGGTGAGGTCCAAGCTGCAGGGCAGGTAGATTTCTGGGCAAGTCAGCTGGAAGATTAAATGTATCACAGGAATCTGGGGGGAGAAGCCTTGAGGGCATGTATGCTGCTTTCTTAGCTGTGTAACTACTGCATCTCTTGGAATGTGGGCATCTAAGTAGCAGCTTAGGTTGCTCATGGTAGAAGTGGCAAGATGGAAAGCTGCTCTGTAGCCAACACGTGCTGCTTTCACAGGTAATGCTGCACCTGAGCCCTGTGGCCTTCTGAACCTGAGGAGTTGATGGGAGAAGGGCTAATTTGCTGCCCCTTCCAGCACCAAAGAAAGAGCTGGTGCAGCACAGAGCAGGATGATGAAGCTCTGCCCCCTTAGTGCTCTCAGACATCCTTCCCAACCTGCTGGGGAAGCAGGTTACCTCAGGGAGCTGGGGCAGACCTCGAGGAGACCCTGACACACACAGCATGAAGCCCCTGAGCTGTGCCAAACTGGTTTTCCTCACAAAATGAAGCATTGAAGAGGCTGCCTCCAATGATGGAAGCGAGGGGTGAAGAGGCAGTTTGGAAGTTACTTGCCAGCAGGACCAGGGAGGTGATCTTAGCTCTGTATTTGGCATTGGTGAGGCTGTGCCTTGAGTGTTGTCTTCAGTTCTGGGCCCCTCACTTCAGAAAAAGAGATTGAGCTACTAGGGCTTGTCCAGAGAAGGGCAAGGGAGCTGGGGAAGAGTCTGGAGCACAGGTCTGAGGAGGAGCAGCTGAGGGTGTCCAGCATCACCAATAATCAGTAGGTAACCAGACAGTTGCTAAACAAGTATGCAGATTAATTCCCATAAATTTTACACACTTCAGTTCTGGGCCCCTCACTTCAGAAAAAGAGATTGAGCTACTAGGGCTTGTCCAGAGAAGGGCAAGGGAGCTGGGGAAGAGTCTGGAGCACAGGTCTGAGGAGGAGCAGCTGAGGGTGTCCAGCATCACCAATAATCAGTAGGTAACCAGACAGTTGCTAAACAAGTATGCAGATTAATTCCCATAAATTTTACACACGTCAGTATTTACAGAGTGGTCTGAATAAGCTGCTGGAGAGTAGTGTAGGTTGACTCCAAACTCCAAAGCCATTTCAGATGAACCATTACAATGTTAGACTTCAACTACCTCCCCAGCCATTTCAGCAGTCACCAAACCCACCATCAAGATGGAAAGAAGAGATTTCCCAGGGGAAGTCAAGGTGCTGCAAAATGTCACTGAGCTCTCCAGCTGCACTGCACCCACCTGCATTCGTAATTCATGTCACAACACAAGCCTGACACA